GTGCAGTCGCACGGTCCTGCCGAGTGTATATGACTCACGAAATCGTAATGACACGATTGCAAACAAACCATACCACGGGTGGGGTTAGAACCCGCGATCAGTCACAAAACTCCAGTGCCGAACGCGACGGTCTGGAGTTTTGTGACTGATCGCGGGTTCTAACCCCACCCGTGGTATGTTTTTTTTTCTGCTGAGTGTAGCATATTCACGTGACAGTCGCACGGTCCTGCCGAGTGTAGCATACTCACATGCAGGCGTACGGTCCTTCAGAGTAACGTTATACGTAAGTGCAAGTGCACGGTCGTGACGAAACCAGATTGTTTTGCGCAAAAAAAATTAAATTCAGCCAAGCGATCAAGAATATTTAAATGTGAATGTGTGAATTACGTCGTGTACGTTGCCAATTTGCGTTGTTAATGTTGTCACAAGACGTCTAGTGTCGTGAACTTCGTAACCTGGCGTCGAGTACGTCTTCCCTTGACGGTTGTATTGCATACGTCGCTGGTTCGCATTACTCGCCCAGGCTGGTCCTATTTTAGTTTATTACAACTTTCTACATTCTCGGACGCGAGCCAAGCGTCATACACATTTTTTCATTGATAGTGGAAGGAAGATGGAGAGTAGTGGAGGAAAGAAGAGGGAGAGTAGTGGAGGAAAGAAGAGGGAGAATAGTGGAGGAAAGAAGAGGGAGAGTAGTGAGAGAAGGGGGAGTAGTTTGGAGGAATGATAGAGGGGATTAGTCGGAAGGGGTAATTAGTGTATTACAATAATGGAGGAGATGAGGAAAAATGTGAGATAGTGGAGGAAAGAGGGAGAGTAGTGGAGGAAAGAAGAGGGAGAGTAGTGGAGGAAAGAAGAGGGAGAGTAGTGGAGGAAAGAAGAGGGAGAGTAGTGGAGGAAAGAAGAGGGAGAGTAGTGGAGGAAAGAAGAGGGAGAATAGTGGAGGAAAGAAGAGGGAGAGTAGTGGAGGAAAGAAGAGGGAGAGTAGTGGAGGAAGGGAGAATAATAGGAGCATGATAGTTGGCAGAATGTTAGGGGAAGAAGTCTCTTGGGATTATAAATCTTGAAGGATCAGTAACCCAGGATAACCCAAGGAATCCAAGCAGTGTAGCTTATTTCCATTGGGCTCCTTTGATTCTCTTCCCGGGATGGAACCAACAAATGTCGACTGACCCAGGTACTTACTCATGGCGGATAGGGGCAATAGGTGGTAGGAGATTTGCCTGTATGGCTCGCCCACAACCTGGATTGAACCCTGGCCCGTTGATTGTAAGCCTAATGCTCAACCACCGAGCTTCGAAATTAAAGGATTAGTCATTCGTGGTGTTGAAAAAAATAAATGATGAATATACAAATATTTGGGGAATACAATGTTTTGAATAAATTGAAAAAAAAAAAGATTGTCTTGGAAATATTTAGATTTAAAATAATGTTTAACTCCTTCCCTGGGATTTTGACTTGAGCTGTTTTACATAAAAGAAAAAGAAAACTTATGAGGATGGGTACGAAGGCAGCCTGAGTGGACAGGAAGACAAAGTTGAGCTCCGATATCTTCGTCAGGATAACAGCTGCCCTCAGATATTTATGCAGGTTGTCGCCGTACAAAAAAGTGGCCAGACTATGAAAATAATTCGATAGATAAAAAGGCACCAAAAATATGTTTGATAAATTCACATTTTTTTTCAGACAATGTATCGGGCAGACTTTATCTGCGAGGTAATATTTTATAGGCTGTTTAAGGCATTGTTCTCTAACGTTTTTAAGAAGTAACAACCAAAAACTTCATTTTTTTGACCCTCAGATTTGAAGGAAAGAATTACACACACACACACACACACACACACACACTATATATATATATATATATATATATATATATATTATATATATATATATATATATATATATATTATTATAGACTTAAGGATGTACATGCTTATAGAGGGGTCACGGACATACCAGATCATTTTTTAGTTGTAGCTGCAATGAGAGTAAAAGGTAGATGGGATACAAGGAAAATAGAAGCAGCACGTAAAAGAGAGGTAAAGGTTTATAAACTAAAGGAGGAGGCAGTTACGGTAAGATATAAGCAACTGTTGGAGGATAAATGGGCTAGTGAGCATACGTATAGGCAGTGGGGTCGAATATGTATGGGAGTAGGTTTAAGAATGTAGCGTTAGTGTTCAGCAGTTTGTGGTTACAGGAAAGCGGGTGCGGGAGGGAAAAGAGCGATTGGTGGAATGATGTAAAGAGAGTAGAAAGGGAGGAAAAGTTTGCAAGTGATGCAAGGAGGGAGGAGTATATATAGAGAAAAAGAGAGGTTGAGAGATTGGTGAAGAAATGTAAAGAGAGAGCAAACGAAACAGTGGGTGAGATGTTATCAACAAATTTTTTTGAAAATAAGAAAAAGTTGGATTTGATAGTTAAAAATAGGAGAGGAGAGTTATTAAATGAAGAGTTAGAGGTATTGGGAAGAAGGAATGAATATTCTGAGGAATTGTTAAATGATGAAGATACGGAAGCTGTGATTTCGTGTATAGGGTGAGGAGGAATAACATCTTTTAGGAGTGAGAAAGAACCAGTTGTGAGTTTGGGGGAAGTTCGTGAGGCAGTGTGTAGAATGAAAGGGGGTAAGGCAGCAGGGATTGATGGGATAAAGATAGAAACGTTAAAAGCAGGTGGGGATGTAGTTTTGGAGTGTTTGGTGCTTTTATTTAATAAATGTATGGAAGAAGATAAGGCACCTAGGGATTGGCAGAGAGCCTAAATAGTTCCTTTGCATAAAGGCAAAGGGGACGACAGAGAGTGCAGAAATTATAGGGGAATAAGTCTTTTGAGTATGAAAGGTAGGGAGTGTGTAGGCCAAGTATTGACTATGAAACATATAGGTGAATAGTATTAAGATAAAGGTGAAGAGGTTTTTGTGGCATTTATGGATATGGAAAAGGCGTATGACAGGGTGGATAGGGAGGCAATGTGCCAGATGTTGCAGATGTATGGAGTAGGAGGTAGGTTACCGAAAGCAATGGAGAATTTTTACGAGAATAGTGAGGCTCAGCTTAGAGTATGTAGGAGAGAGGGAGATTATTTCCCAGTAAAATTAGGCCTTAGACAAGGATGTGTGATGTTACCATGGTTTTTCAGTATATTTATAGATTGGGTTGTAAGAGAAGTGAATGTTTGGGTGTTGGCAAAAGGTGTGGGGTTGAAAGTTAAAGAATCTAACACAAAGTGGGAGTTGTCACAGTTGCTCTTTACTAATGACACTGTTTTTTTGGGAGATTCTGAAGAGAAGTTGCAGGGGTTGGTGGATGAGTTTGGTAAGGTATGTAAAAGAAGAAAATTAAAAGTGAGTATAGGAAAGAATAAGGTGATGAGGATAAAATTAGGTGACGAAAGATTGGATATCAGATTGGAGGGAGAGATTATGGAGGAGGAGAATGTATTCAGATATTTAGGATTGGACGAGTCAGCAGATGGGCCTGTGAAAGATGAGGTGAATCATAGAATTGATGAGGGGAAAATGGTGAGTGGTGCACTTAGGAGTCTGTGGAGACAAAGAACTTTGCCCATGGAAACAAAGATGGAATGCATGAAAGTATAGTTGTACCAACGTTCTTATATGGGTGTGAAACATGGATGGTGAATGTTGCAACAAGGAGAAAGCTGGAGGTAGTGGAGATGTCATGTCAGAGGGCAATGTGTGGTGTGAATATAATGCAGAGAATTCGTAGTTTGGAAATTACCAGAGGGGTGAGGAAGGGTTGTTGAGGTGGTTCGGACATGTAGAGAGGATGGAAGGAAATAGAATTACTCCAAGAGTGTATGAATCTGTGGTGGAGGGAAGGCGGGGTAGGGGTCGGCTAGGAAAAAATTGAGGGAGGGGGTAAAGGAGGTTTTGTGTGCGAAGGGCTTGAACTTCCAGTAAGCATGTATGAGCGTGTTAGATAAAAGCGAATGGAGACAGATGGTTTTTGGGACTTGACGTGCTGTTGGAGCTTGAGCAGGGTAACGTTTATGAAGGGATTCAGGGAAACCGGCAGGCCGGACTTGAGTAATGGAGATGGGAAGTATGGTGTCTGCACCCTGAAGGAGGGGTGTTAATGTTGCAGTTCTATAACTGTAGTGTAAGCGCTCCTCTGGCAAGACAGTGATGGAGTGAATGATGAAAGTTTTTCTTTTTCGGGTCATGTTGCCTTAGTGGGAGACTGCCGATGTGTTAATAAAATTATATATATATATATATATATATATATATATATATATATATATATATATATATATATATATATATATATATATATATATATATATATTATATATGTCGTGCGAATAGGCAGAACTTGCGATCTTGGCTTAAATAGCAACGCTCATCTTGCCATATAGGACAAGTGAAAATTTGTGTATGCAATAATTTCGCCAAAATCATTCTGAACCTAACGAAAAAAATATATTTCACTGTGTTTGTTTAGTATTAAATTACTGTAAACAAATCTAAAATATATTTAGTTGGGTTAGGCTAAAATAAATTGAGCTTGTTATAATAAGGTTAGTTAAGTTTTCTAAGTTTCTTTTGGTGCAAATTATAAATTTTTACATCAACATTAATGAAAAAAATATATCTTTAAACGTATAACAAATATTTTAGAAAGGACTTAATTTTAAATGAGTTCTTGCTAATTGACCAGTTTTACATATTCGGCACGACATATATATATATATATATATATATATATATATATATATATATATATATATATATATATATATATATATTATATATATATTATATATATATATATATAATGTTACAGGGAGTAATTTTGGGTTGCATTTGTCTCTTAACAAGCAGACGTAGGATTAAGCCTCTACAACTTTATACAGTGAATGACTAATACGGGTAAATTTTAGCACTTCGTATAGAGCATATTTTTCTTTATTTTCCTAAACGGAGATGATGTATATGACAGTGTAACAGTTACATGGTGTGGTGTGTACAGGTGTACCAGGTAGCCTACGTGATCGTGAAGAGTGCAGTGTCGCCCCGTCCTGGCAACTGGGTACTGGAACGCTCCCTGGATGGTCGCGCCTTTCACCCTTGGCAATACTACGCCCTCTCTGACGCTGAGTGCCTCACAGCCTTCGGTGTACTCCCCACCCAGGGACGACCCACCTACACCTCAGACACACAGGTCATCTGCACTTCATATTTTTCAAGACTCAATCCCCTGGAAGGCGGCGAGGTAAGCAACTTCAACAGTCATACATTCTAAGTCTGTGTCTACCTGTAACCATCACTCATTCAAAGTGTCTCTGTCTAATTTTATCTCTGCTTGACTATTTATTTATCCTGTTTTGCATTACATGTTTTTACCAAGACTAATGGAATATACAGTGTATGCTCAAGGGGAAGCGCACATCTCTGTAGGGGTCATGCAGCACCTGGGAATAAGAGGGAATAAAGCTTGATCCAAGGAAGGGGAGGAGTAGCTCAGTTCATTGGCTCACCAGCATCAAGGCGCACCCCTGTTTTATTTACCCCTCTTTCTCCTCGAAATGTGACGGTGTACAACATGTACATCAAGGCTTACAAGTAATAGTCTTGCCTCAGATCCCAGAAAGATATCCCTGTATTTCGTAATCCCAGTCACATCCACCTCAAGGATCTAATAAGCCCAGCTACATCTACTTTAACGATCCCCTACCTTAATTGTCTGAGAAATGCATTCCCGTATCCCATAAGCCTAGCGTTGAAGATTTTCATCCAACCAGAAGTTTCTCAAGTTTTCACAAAGAAACTAATATCCCAATTTCTTGAATAAAAATAGCAAATGAGCACCTAAGACTAAGATACACCGGCATTCTCTAGTGTATCACACAGAGACAATATCTCAAAATACACCAGCAATTTAAGTTTGAAGCCGCTCTGAAGATGTATTCTGAAGTCATCGGCACTAAAGGTTTGAAGCTGATAAAATGAGGTATTTACGAACTCCATGAAAACCAATATTTCAGTTTTCCCAGTAAAATTGGTAAATTAACACGTGCATAACCCAAACCTTTCCTGTGTATGATAAACCATCATGTAAGGTTTCAAGCTGATCAGAAGAGGAATTCTCAAGCTATTGCACAGAAATAAATTTAATTAAAATTGGCAAATTACAGATTACACGCCCCAAAATCTATGCAAAACTTCCTTTGTGAAAAATACACCAGTGCTAAAGGCTTGAGACTGACCAGAAGAAACAGTCTCCACAGAAAATAGAAATGCCTATTGTTTTGATTGATCAGGCATTGGGAAACTAATTTTTAACATATTACACTTTTTTATCAGTGATAATACTCTGGAAAAAGAGCACAATCAAAAGTGAAAGTTTAATATACAAATGAGCCATAATGTTAGAAAGTTTTAGGGTGCAATGTAATGCCTTAAATATTTTTAACTCACGATGTAATAATTAGTTTCTTAAATTGTGATTTGAGCTCTGCCTGTTTAGATATGTTCAATTTGTATTGAGCGGCGATTAATGAAGTTTTGTGGCTGTGTTTCAGGTACACACATCACTAGTGAACGGTCGTCCAGGATCTGCAGGCCCATCGGAGGCTCTGCGTCAGTTCACAGAAGCTCGCTATGTTCGTCTGCGCCTTCAGAAGATACGCACGCTGCACGGTGACCTGCAGGGACGCTCATCGCAGTCTGACGCCTCTGTTACGAAGTGAGAAACTGACAATTTACATGCAAATTAAGGCTTTACAGCGAATCCCGGGTGTGGCTGGGTATTGAGAAAAATGTACTGTGTAGCAATAGTGGATCCTGTTAAGACCAGTTGATTGTCAGATCCATTCTTCGGTACTTGTATACACCAAGAATTATTAATTCTACAGTCGTTTTCTATATAAAAAAGCTGTCAGTCTTTGAGAAGATCATATTGTTTAACATTCACAAAGCTAATGAGATATCCCTGATCATTTAAGGTACACATTATTTCAATGTTAGTTTTTTGTTGAAGTTCGTGAATCTGTAATTCAGGGCTGGTGTAGAATAATCCCTTCAGTTACAGTAAGATTATGTATTTTTATTTCAGGCGCTACTTTTATTCTATCAAAGACATCAGCATTGGTGGTCGATGTGTGTGTAACGGTCATGCTATCAACTGTGACACTGATGAACGCAGGCAGGTAGGCACTAAATCCACATTTATTGTTATGTTCTCACTCTTCATCTGCCCTTATAGTTTTTAAATACAACATCTGTTCTACAGTGCACCAAAGTTCATTAAGCAGAGGAAACAAGCAGTTGTCGTGAAGTGAAGAGTGGTGCGCTTGTAAGACTTTCTAGTTTGGTTGTGTCGTCCCCCCCCCCTCCTTTTTTTTTCCATTTGGATTGCGGTCAGCGGTGAACGGAAATGCTCACAGGAAAAGTCACATTATATGTAAATACTATAAGCAATTTTAAAATCATTTATCTACTGATTAACCAGGTTTATGATGGATAGAAAATTTGACGCATGTGCTTCATCGACTATATTACTAAACGGAATAAAGTGGTTATAATTATAACCATAATTTTTAAAGGGGTGGGCCAGTAAGCCAGCGGAAGACCTAGTCAGATGACCAAAAGCTCCACAGGGAGCGCTTGTCCTGTTTCCCGACAAACCTAATATACTTATATTACTGAACTTTCTCATAAATTTATGGTTTTGCATTACTAATGATGGTGTTTTCATGATTTTGTTTTCGTAGCTAGCAAGATGTGCGTGTGTGCACAACACATGTGGAGACAATTGTGACACGTGTTGCCCACTATACAATCAGAAGCCATGGCGGGCTGGCAACTTCAGTGACGGCGGCGTGTGTGAAAAATGCCAGTGTTATGGTCATGCTGACTTGTGCACGTATGATGCAGAAGTCTCCAGGAAACGTCTGTCCCTCAATACAAGGCAAGATTCACCATGCTGTTAATGTATGGCGTAGCTGACAAGTGGTACAAAGACACACACAAAACAAAATAAGACTATTTACACCGATGACGAATGAGACACATGTGCGACATTTGGGAATTAGAAATTCCCAGATGTTGCACGTTTCATTCTTCAACTAATCTGTTTTCTAAACAGTTTACATAATATTAGTATGATGTTTCACATATGCAATAAAGCCTCATTTAAGTGAATGTCGTACTAATAAAAATCTTTCTCTCTCTCTCCTCCAAGGTTTACCATTGGGATTCCAATTCTTTATTTCAAGGGACAGAGGTGACCGGGGCAACAAGCTCACACATGATCATAAAGACACGTAATACAGGGCAAGCCTGCATTTTAGATCACGTCTCGCTCGGAAGTGAACCTCATTAAGCTTGCTCATTTATGAGTCAAAAGTCGTCTAAAAGGGATTTGTTTCGTATTATGTGTCTGTACCTATATAGTGTTGCAGTTTTGTAACTAGTGTAAGCATGCCTCTTGCAAGAGAGTGATAGAATTAATGATGAAAGTTTTTCTTTTTCGGGTCACCCTGGCTTGGTGGGAAACGGCCAATGTGTTAATAAAATAAAATCAAATAAACCAATATAATTAGTCAGTTACTATATACATGCATTTACGAGCCTGATTTCACAATGATATGAAAGTAACACTGATAATCAAAGAATACAGAAGTGACCCGTGAATCTGAATGCTGCATTCTAGCAATTCTGCTACTGATAGGCAAATAAGTATTGGAACTTGTTGACCGTCTGTTCCAAGCTTGATAATAGGGACTATTATCAAGCAAACCCAGTTCGCCGTCACTCGGGTATCCAGAAAAGTCGTTCATAGTTTACTGCACTGCTGTGCATGCAAACAGACATTCGATATAGTAGTGGAACACTAGAACAACCAGTTCCAATAATGCTTGTATAACGTATGATTGTCAATGCGAGTACGAACTTATGTGCTCCCGAGTAATGCTGTTATACCTGTTTAAGTTTTAAAGTGACATCTTGGCACTTCAGAAATGAATACGAGGGTGGTGGTGTCTGCCAGGGCTGTCAGCATGATACGCAGGGTATCAATTGTGAGCAGTGTAAGCAAGGATTCTACAGACCTCAGGTGACACCTTTTCCTTTGTTGATGCTGCTCTTATGAATTTAAATCATGTAATATTATGTTTTTGTATACTTGTAAATAGTAGTGGAGATCTGTTATACCTATTTTTTAATGTGTAACAGCTCCTACTAAATATTTTTTCCGAATCATTTTGTTATTTAGGGTGTCTCTCCAGACGCACTCAGGCCATGTCAGCCTTGCGAGTGTTCTGGTCCTGGAACCACAGGACATTGTGTCCAAGATGACTCTCAGTTCAACCTGGGCTTCTTTCCTGGAGCCTGCATCTGCAAAGACGGATTCCATGTAAGTTTGTGCATCGTGAAAATATTGTCACAACCTACTCCAATATATTGTATGTATAAGTCAAAACTAACATTATTCCATATTGATTATAAATGTGTAGGACAGTCTTATGTCACCATGGTTGTTTAATATATTTATAGATGGGGTTGTAAAAGAAGTAAATGCTATGGCGTTTGGGAGAGGGGTGGGATTAAATTATAGGGAATCAAATACAAAATATGAATTGACAGTTGCTTTTTGCTGATGATACTGTGCTTATGGGAGATTCTAAAGAAAAATTGCAGAGGTTAGTGAATGAGTTTGGGAGTGTGTGTAAAGGTAGAAAGTTGAAAGTGAACATAGAAAAGAGTAAGGTGATGAGGGTATCAAATGATTTAAAGAAAAATTGGATATCAAATAGGGGAGGAGTAGTATGGAAGAAGTGAATGTTTTCAGATACTTGGGAGTTGACGTGTCGTTCGTTAGTTTAATATGTTTGTTATGCACCCCATACCCATCCTGCGGGCAGTAGTCAAAAGATTACAGAGGTACATAATTGGTCCAGGGATTGGACTCCAAAGTTTTGATAGCTGAGCAAGTTACAGAGGTAATGAACTCACAATTTACAAAGGTAATGAACTCACAATTTACAAAGGTAATGAACTCCAGGTAGGTCTGGTCACAATCATGACAAGTTACAAAGGTATTTACAGATTACAGAGGTACGTAATGGGTCCAGGGACTGGGCCCCCAAAGTTTTGATAGCTGAGCTAGGTACAAAGGTAATGAGCTCACAAGTTACAAGGTAATGAATTCTGTAAGAATGGTTACTTACGTTTATACATGGCTACAATCATGAACAAATTATAGTGTAATGAGCAATTCACACTTCCACACCCGGTCACAACTGTAATGAGTTACTGGTGCAAATATTGATTGTCGAGTCACACACACACACACACACACACACACACACACACACACACACACACACACACACACACACACACACACACACACACACACACACACACACACACACACACTCACACAGTTTAGTTTAATATCTTTATTATGCACCCCATACCCATCCTGTGGCCGGTAGTCAAAAGATTACAAAGGTACATAATGGGTCCAGTGACGTGTCGGCAGATGGATATATGAAGGATGAGGTTAATCATAGAATTGATGAGGGAAAAAAGGTGAGTGGTGCGTTGAGGTATGTGTGGAGACAAAAAAACGTTATCTATGGAGGCCTGGTGGCTTAAGTTCCCGCTTCACACACGGAGGGCCCGGGTTCGATTCCCGGTGGGTGGAAACATTTCGACACGTTTCCTTACACCTGTTGTCCTGTTTACCTAGCAGTAAATAGGTACCTGGGTGTTAGTCGACTGGTGTGGGTCGCATCCTGGGGGACAAGATTAAGGACCCCAATGGAAATAAGACAGTCCTCGATGACGCACTGACTTTCTTGGGTTATCCTGGGTGGCTAACCCTCCGGGGTTAAAAATCCGAACGAAATCTTATCTTATCTTATCTTAAGGGAATGTATGAAAGTATAGTAGTACCAACACTTTTATATGGGTGTGAAGCTTGGGTTGTGAATGCAGCAGCGAGGAGGCGGTTGGAGGCAGTGGAGATGTCCTGTCGAAGGGCAATGTGTGGTGTAAATATTATGCAGAAAATTCGGAGTGTGGAAACTAGGAGAAGGTGTGGAGTTAATAAAAGTGTTAGTCAAGAGGGCTGAAGAGGGGTTGTTGAGGTGGTTTGGTCATTTAGAGAGAATGGATCAAAGTAGAATGACATGGAGAGCGTATGAATCTGTAGGGGAAGGAAGGCGGGGTAGGGGTCGTCCTCGAAAAGGTTGGAGGGAAGGGGTAAGGGAGGTTTTGTGGGCGAGGGGCTTGGACTTCCAGCAGGCGTGCATGAGTGTTTGATAGGAGTGAATGGAGACGAATGGTATTTGGGACCTGGCGATCTGTTGGAGTGTGAGCAGGGTAATATTTAGTGAAGGGATTCAGGGAAATTGGTTATTTTTGTATAGCCGGACTTGAGTCCTGGAAATGGGAAGTACAATACTTGCACTCTAAATGAGGGGTTCGGGATATTAGCAGTTTGGAGGGATATGTTGTGTATCTTTATACGTATATACTTCTAAACTCTTGTGTTCTGAGCACCTCTGCAAAAACAGTGATTATGTGTGTGAGTGAGGTGAAAGTGTTGAATGATGATGAAAGTATTTTCTTTTTGGGGATTTTCTTTCTTTTTGGGTCACTGCCTGGGTGGGAGACGGCCGACTTGTTAAAAAAAAAATCTTATGTATTGGGTTTGCAGATATTAATTTTGTGTAAGCTTTTGGCATTTGAGATAAGTCAAATTTATTAAGGAATGAGTGCATTATTTTAAACTTTAAGAATAAATAAACCGAATTGTAACTTAATGGCAGAATATTCGGCTCACAGCATACTCGGGTAGGGGACTTACAAGGAACCCAGTGGAAATTTGTTAAATGGCTTATCTTCCCTGGGCTGATCTGTAACCATCTACGGTTATTAATCAAGCTAAGCTTTAAGACACCAAAATACTGGCGTGTATCGGCTGATTTTGTTGGTATCGGTATCGGCAAAAATCTTTCATTGTTCCATCCCTAATCAGTATAATTATATAATACAATTCTACTGATCTACCAATCAATATAATTGTATAATAAAATTACTTATACTGATTGGTAGATGTATTATATTGACGTTGTTACCCTTTTCATAAAAGCAATTTTCTATAATCGGTTTCAGCCCCGTTTTCTGTGTTAAATAGAAAATTCTTATGGGACACTACGAATTTTTATCTCATTGAGCTATTAAAAGCGATACAAGATAACAGGAATTCTAGGTAGTAAATCCTACTTGAATTTATATTAAACTGCTGTACACTTAAAAAATATGTGAAATTTAAGCCTACATATGTCAGTAATTAGTATTTTTGTGTGCTCAATAAAACTGATCATATGACATTGCCTATATAAATTGAATCGTTTAAGGGGACGAGAAGCTGGCTAAAACACATTATACTAAAATTGGTTGCTTGATTGTTTGATTAGCTAGAGAAAACCGTTTCGAGATCTTTTTCTTGTGAATTTTGTTTGTGCTGTCCTATAGTTTCACAGCAATAAGATAAAATTTGTTCGGATTTTGAACCCGGAGTGTTAGCCATCCAGGATATTCCAAGAAACTTAGTGCTTCATCGGGGTCTGTCTGTCTGTCTTATTTCTATTGTAGTCCTTCAGTCTTGTCCCCCAGGATGCGACTCACGTCAGTCGACTAACACCCAGGTACCTACTTACTGCTAGGTGAACAGGGGTATACCTGGAGAGAGAGTTCCGGGGATCAACGCCCCCGGCCCGGTCTGTGACCAGGCCTCATGGTGGATCAGGGCCTGATCAACCAGGTTGTTACTGTTGGCCGCACATAATCCAACTTACGAACCACAACCCGGTTGGTCAGGTACTGACTTTAGGTGCCTGTCCACCTCCTGCTTGAAGACAGCCACGGGTCTATTGGTAATCCCACTGGTGTATACTCGGAGGCAGTTGAACAGTCTTGGGCCCCTGAAACTTATTGTGTTGTCTCTTATCGTGCTAGTGGGACCCCTGCTTTTCATTGGGGGGATGTTGCACCGTCTGCCGGGTCTTTTACTTTCGTAGGGAGTGATTTTCGTGTGCAAGTTTGGTACTAGTCCCTCTAGGATTTTCCAGGTGTGTATAATCATGTATCTCTCCCTCCTGTGTTCTAGGGAGTACAGGTTTAGGTAGGTGTAGTAATAATAATAATATCTTTATTTCTACAAGTACATGTGCAAGGTATACAAAGTATAACATGCTAGTACATTTATAGAAAGTCGCTTGTTATGCAGAGCAATTCAGACAAATTAGGTCAGTTTTGTCCCAGGATGCAACCCACACTAGTCTTCTAACACCCAGGTACCCGTTTTATACTGATGGGTGAACATGGACAGCAGATGTCTTATGGAAGCACCCTAATGTTATCCTGCTGTACTGGAGATTCGAACTCCAGATCTCAGTGTGTGAGCTGAGTGCAATAGTGATCGAACTGCGGGACACATGCTCAATATTTCCACCCATCCTGGGGATTGAACCACGGAGACTCATTGTCCGAGGCAAGAATGTTGCCAACTGAGATGTTGATAATGATAAATAAAAAATGTAGCATAAACTAGTAATGTCATTAAAATGACAAATACAAAAATGTTAGGAAGCCAAGTGTGTTGCCATTCAATGAGTGCTATGCAAATAATCTAGGTATGTAAGTTAATTTTCTGAAGTTTGAAAATTATAGTACAGTATTTTACCCCTCAAGGGAGGTTCCTTGATGCCAGTGAGGGGCTCTTGATCTTGGGAATAGGACGTGTATTCACCTATTTGTACTCACCTATTTGTGGTTGCAGGGGTCAATTCACAGCTGGTTCCACCTCTTTGCTGGTCCCTACTAGGTCCATGAGCTTTATCTCTTCTTAGAACTATGTATGGATTCTCCCTCCATTACATGAATCCTCAGATTGGTCCACTTCCTGGCAATTCTATGATAGAAGAAATTCTTCCTAACATCCCTATGACTTATCTGAGTTTTCAACTTCAGTTGTTGCTGTGTCTCCTCTCTAAAATATTATGTCCCTATTCATGTTTCCCTTAATTGGTGTGAACTTGGATGCCTCCTATTTTACCAGGCGCTAAATGATCCCTACAGGCTTTCACTTGCATGAATGAAATTATAATAAAATGCACTATTATATATTTTAAACATTGTATATAATTAAGAAAATACTGATTTTATCAGGGACCTCGTTGTAATCGTTGTGCAAAGGATATCGGCACTTCCCACTGTGTGAGCCATGCCCTTGTGATCGTGCTGGCTCTCTCAGTGAAGAGTGTGATGGCGAATGTGTCTGTAAGGTGAGGGATACTTTTCTTTACAACTAAAATTGAATATGACCTCTTCATAATGCTAAATATTACTGTCATCTTTATAAAACTATAACTATTTTTGTTATAATCCTTTTGCTTTATAGGCAAATGTGGTAGGTCCTCACTGCGACACCTGTGCCCCAGGACACTTCTACCTTGATCCACGCAATCCAGCTGGTTGTACATCTTGCTACTGCAATGGTGCAACAAACTCATGTGATGCAGCTAGATTGGCTGTCTACACCGTGAGTATTTGCTATTGTTACTTATGCTGTTTTATTTTGCATTAGCAATTACACATTTCATTTATAAATTACATTTTTTTTCCATAAAAAATGTATCACAGCACTCAACATAAATCAGTTATGTTGAACATTATTACTGTACCAGAATTTTAAAGTGTAATATAAACTCAATAAAGTCTCATATTGTGTACCTTTGTAGTTAATTTTTAATAGTACACCTCGTATATCTCATTAATAATTATTAATACATGGGTTACACCAATACATAAAGGTGGTGACCCTACAGACTTAAACAGCTATAGGCCAATATCAAACTTACCATTGCTATCCAAAATCTTTGAGAAACTCGTGCACAGGAGACTATATTCATTTATAACGGCACACAACATACTCAACCCCTGCCAATTTGGATTCAGGAAAAATAAAAGCACTAATGATGCAATCATAAAAATGCTAGATCTGCTTTACACAGCATTGGAAATTAAGGAATATCCACTAGGAATTTTTATTGACCTAAGAAAAGCTTTTGACACAGTAGACCACGACATCCTACTCCACAAACTTGACCATTACGGTATAAGAGGCCATGCGCTTGCTTATTTCAAATCTTGCCATACTAATAGGTATCAGTATGTCACCATTAAAGACACAGCATCAACAACACGGCCACTTGATACTGGAGTTCCGCAGGGAAGTGTCCTTGGTCCCCTGCTCTTCCTCATATACATCAATGATCTTCCAAATGTATCCCAACACCTGAAACCCGTTCTCTTTGCTGACGACACGACTTATGTCATCTCTCACCCTAATCTTGCCACCCTCAACACCATTGTTAACGAGGAGCTGATCAAAATATCGACTTGGATGACAGCCAATAAACTTACGCTTAACACTGACAAAACCTACTATATTATGTTTGGTAGCAGAGGAGGAGATGCACAAATTAACATTAAGATCGACAACACTCTAATTACCAGACATAATGAGGGCAAATTCCTAGGCCTATACCTTGACAACAACCTGAATTTCAGCACCCATATCCAACACATAACCAAAAAAGTATCCAAAACGGTTGGGATCCTCTCCAAGATACGATACTATGTGCTGCAAAATGCCCTTCTCACACTATACCACTCACTTATTTATCCATACCTCACCTATGCTATTTGTGCTTGGGGATCAACTGCAGCAACACACCTAAAGCCAATAATAACCCAACAAAAAGCTGCAGTAAGAATAATCACTAAATCCCATCCCTGGCAACACACCCCCCCACTCTTCATAGATCTAAACTTACTCCCTGTTCAGTACATCCACACTTACTACTGTGCAATCTACATCTACAGGACCTTAAACTCCAATATCAACCTTGACCTAAAACGCTTTCTTGATAGTTGTGACAAAACCCACAGGCATAACACCAGACACAAACATCTCTACGACATTCCCCGTGTCCGACTAAACCTTTACAAAAATTCAATGTATGTCAAAGGCCCTAAAATCTGGAACACCCTACCTGAGAACTCTAGAACTGCAGACACATTTATCACCTTCAAAACTACCATTAGAAAACATCTTATCTCCCTGATACACCCTGTCAACTAACTACACGAATACCACCTGGTGGTTCACACTTACACTCACTCACCCATTTGACCATAAACAGAAATATTAATCTCAATCTTAAAATAATGAATCCTGTGATACTCCAATAGTGAAACTATGTACTGTGCCAAAACAAAAGCATTCACATTGCTAAACTCACAAACTAGTATTTAGTCACTTAGCCATAATACCAACTTACCTCATAATTTGTAATATTTTAAAATTAAGAATTAAACTAAATCTGCCCGAAATGCCTAGCCATGCTAAGTGTTTTAGTGGTACACTCTGTAATCATTATTTTACTACATGTAAACCACACAATAACCAAATTCTGTAAACTCAACATTGTAATCCTTATACCTGGAGTTTACCTGGAGAGAGTTTCGGGGGTCAACGCCCCCGCGGCCCGGTCTGTGACCAGGCCTCCTGGTGGATCAGCGCCTGATCAACCAGGCTGTTGCTGCTGGCTGCACGCAAACCAACGTACGAGCCACAGCCCGGCTGATCAGGAACTGACTTTAGGTGCTTGTCCAGTGCCAGCTTGAAGACTGCCAGGGGTCTGTTGGTAATCCCCCTTATGTGTGCTGGGAGGCAGTTGAACAGTCTCGGGCCCCTGACACTTATTGTATGGTCTCTTAACGTGTTAGTGACACCCCTGCTTTTCATTGGGGGGATGTTGCATCGTCTGCCAAGTCTTTTGCTTTCGTAGTGAATGATTTTCGTGTGCAAGTTCGGTACTAGTCCATCTAGGATTTTCCAGGTGTATATAATCATGTATCTCTCCCGCCTGCGTTCCAGGGAATACAGGTTCAGGAACCTCAAGCGCTCCCAGTAATTGAGGTGTTTTATCTCCGTTATGCGTGCCGTGAAGGTTCTCTGTACATTTTCTAGGTCAGCAATTTCACCTGCCTTGAAAGGTGCTGTTAGTGTGCAGCAATATTCCAGCCTAGATAGAACAAGTGACCTGAAGAGTGTCATCATGGGCTTGGCATCCCTTGTTTTGAAGGTTCTCATTATCCATCCTGTCATTTTTCTAGCAGATGCGATCGATACAATGTTATGGTCCTTGAAGGTGAGATCCTCCGACATGATCACTCCCAGGTCTTTGACGTTGGTGTTTCGCTCTATTTTGTGGCCAGAATTTGGTTTGTACTCTGATGAAGATTTAATTTCCTCGTGTTTACCATATCTGAGTAATTGAAATTTCTCATCGTTGAACTTCATATTGTTTTCTGCAGCCCACTGAAAGATTTGGTTGATGTCCGCCTGGAGCCTTGCAGTGTCTGCAATGGAAGACACTGTCATGCAGATTCGGGTGTCATCTGCAAAGGAAGACACGGTGCTGTGGCTGACATCCTTGTCTGTCAGATATGAGGATGAGGAACAAGATGGGAGCGAGTACTGTGCCTTGTGGAACAGAGCTTTTCACCGTGCTTGCCTCGGACTTTACTCTGTTGACTACTACTCTCTGTGTTCTGTTAGTGAGGAAATTATAGATCCATCGACTGACTTTTCCTGTTATTCCTTTAGCACGCATTTTGTGCGCTATTACGCCATGGTCACACTTGTCGAAGGCTTTTGCAAAGTCTGTATATATTACATCTGCATTCTTTTTGTCTTCTAGGGCATCTAGGACCTTGTCGTAGTGATCCAATAGTTGAGACAGACAGGAGCGACCTGTTCTAAACCCATGTTGCCCTGGGTTGTGTAACTGATGGGTTTCTAGATGGGTGGTGATCTTGCTTCTTAGGACTCTTTCAAAGATTTTTATGATATGGGATGTTAGTGCTATCGGTCTGTAGTTCTTTGCTGTTGCTTTACTGCCCCCTTTGTGGAGTGGGGCTATGTCTGTTGTTTTTAGTAACTGAGGGACGACCCCCGTGTCCATGCTCCCTCTCCATAGGATGGTAAAGGCTCGTGATAGGGGCTTCTTGCAGTTCTTGATGAACACGGAGTTCCATGAGTCTGGCCCTGGGGCAGAGTGCATGGGCATGTCATTTATCGCCTGTTCGAAGTCATTTGGCATCAGGATAACATCAGATAGGCTTGTGTTAACCAAATTCTGTGGCTCTCTCATAAAAAATTCATTTTGATCTTCGACTCTCAGTCTGGTTAGTGGCTTGCTAAAAAACTGAGTCATATTGGGACTTGAGTAGCTCACTCATTTCCTTGCTGTCATCTGTGTAGGACCCATCTTGTTTAAGTAAGGGCCCAATACTGGACGTTGTTCTCGACTTTGATTTGGCATAGGAGAAGAAATACTTTGGGTTTCTTTCGATTTCATTTATGGCTTTTAGTTCTTCCTGCGATTCCTGACTCCTATAAGATTCCTTTAGCTTAAGTTCGATGTTTGCTATTTCTCTGACCAGTGTCTCCCTACGCATTTCAGATAGATTGACCTTTTTTAGCCGCTCTGTTATTCTTTTCCGTCGCCTGTAAAGAGAGCGCCTGTCTCTTTCTATTTTACATCTTCTCCTCCTTTTTCTTAGAGGAATAAGTCTTGTGCATACATCGAGTGCCACCAAGTTAATCTGTTCTAGGCATAAGTTGGGGTCTGTGTTGCTTAGTATATCTTCCCAGCTTATATCGGTTAGGACTTGGTTTACTTGGTCCCACTTTATGTTTTTGTTATTGAAGTTGAATTTGGTGAATGCTCCCTCGTGACTAATCTCATTTTGTCGGTCTGGGGCTCTGCGCATACATGTCTGAACCTCAATTATGTTGTGATCTGAGTATATTGTTTTTGATATGGTGACATTTCTTATCAGATCATCATTGTTAGTGAAGATGAGGTCTTGTGTATTCTCCATTCTAGTAGGCTCTATTATTTGCTGGTTTAAATTGAATTTTGTGCAGAGATTTAAATGCTCGTGTGAGTGTGAGTTTTCATCAGAGCTGCCTCCTGGTGTTATTACTGCAACAATATTATTTGCTATATTCCTCCATTTTAGGTGCCTTAAGTTGAAATCCCCCAGGAGCAAGATGTTGGGTGCAGGAGCTGGAAGATTTTCCAGACTGGTCAATTTTTAACAGCTGTTCCTGGAATTGCTGGGATGTTGCATCCGGAGGCTTGTAGACTACCACAATGACTAGGTTTTGGTTCTCGACCTTTACTGCTAAAACTTCCACTACATCATTTGAGGCATTAAGCAGTTCTGTGCAAACAAGTGACTCTGCAATGTACAGGCCAACCCCCCCCTTTTGCCTGTTCACTCTGTCACATCTGTATAGGTTGTAAACTGGGATCCATATTTCGTTGTCTAAGTGATCCTTTATGTGGGTCTCAGTGAAAGCCGCGAACATTGCCTTTGCCTCTGCAAGCAGTCCACGGATGAAAGGTATTTTGTTGTTTGTTGCTGGCTTTAGACCCTGTATATTTGCAAAGAAGAAT